CTCTCTCTCTCTCTCTCTGTATGGAGATGGCAGGTCCCTCACTCTCTCTCTCTCTGCCCACGCTCTCCAGGAAATCGGACACATCTCTGTGGAGATGGCGGGATCGCTGGAGGAGCAGATGAACCAGCTGAAGCAGTACGAGCAGAACATCATCAACTACAAGTCCAACATCGACAAGCTGGAGGGAGACCACCAGCTCATCCAGGAGGCCCTGATCTTCGACAACAAGCACACCAACTACACCATGGAGGTGTGAGCTCAGACCCGCCCGGGCCCTCCCTCTCTCTGCTCCTGTCACACTCTCTCTCCGAGCCCCTCTCACTGCCCCGTCTCTCTCCAGCACATCCGCGTGGGCTGGGAGCAGCTGCTGACCACCATCGCTCGCACCATCAACGAGGTGGAGAACCAGATCCTGACCCGCGACGCCAAGGGCATCAGCCAGGAGCAGCTGAACGAGTTCAGGGCCTCCTTCAACCACTTCGACAGGGTGAGGAAGAGGAGGGTTGGGGAGGGAGGAAGGACAGGGCCTCCTTCAACCACTTCGACAGGGTGAGGACGAGGAGGGGCAGGGAGAGAGGAAGGACAGGGCCTTCTTCAACCACTTCGACAGGGTGTAGGAGAGAAATGTCAGGGTGGGCAGGATGTGCGTCTTTACACTAAGGGTGGTGGGAGCGTGGAGCAAGCTGCATGGTGTTGAAGCCAATGCTGTAGCTTTTTTTTTCATGAGATGGCTGGATGAGATCCAGGGATCAATGAGCTACCGCTGACCAAGCAAGCTGGACAGCGTCTCCTGTGGCCTTTCTGGTGTTCTGTGTGAAACAGAAAGAAGGTGGGGAGAGAAGGGGGGTGGGCAGGTGGAGGGAGGGAGAGAGAGAGAGAGGTGACTGAAAGCAGAGATGTTGCTAAGGACTTGAGATCAGAAAACCTTCATCCAGTAGCAGCTAGAACTGCCTCACTGGGTCAGCCAAGCAGGACACCACTGGATGAGCTGGAAACCGCTCAAGACTGGAGCCATCCACAATGCCTGTATTAATACTGTCCGTGTGCATTCATTACTGACGGAACGTGATAATAATCTTCATTGTTGCAGTGGGCTAAAAAGTCATCGTCTCCAAGCGCTTTACAGAACGCAAGTTTACATTCGAAAAGCGTCGCAGTGAAATAGAACTGAAGAACAAAGTTGATACAACAGCTGAAACAATCCCCCCCCCAACTCCACCCAAAAAAAGTCTGAAGTTTGAATTTAAAAGCTCCCAATGAGACGCTCCGCTCCAACGCGCTCCATCCTCCCCAGAGTGCAGGCGAACCAGGGGCCACAAAGGGGGAGTAAACCCGTAACCTGTGTGTCAGATAGTGCAGGGCTGAACCTTGACTGGAAGCCAGTGCAGGGACTCCAGGCTGGGTGTGAAGCCCTGAATTCTGAACGCGCACCCTGTAAGTTCAGTGTGGTTCCGGGAGCTGCGGGCAGGGAGGGGGGTTCTGATCTTGCCTATCCCACAGGTGCGCAAGCTTTCAAGTCACTTCCAGGGAGTATTCATTTCCAGACTGAAGGAACAGGCCTGTCCCATTAAGACACGGGACAGCAGCAGCCTGTAGTCTCCGATGTCACTGGTGTGGCTCTGGCGTGAGTGTGCGTGTCTCTGTGTGCCCTGTGATGGACTGGCGTCCCGCCCGAGGGGTACCCCTCCTTGCGCCTGTTGCTTGGTGGGAGTCCGTGACCCCCGGACTGGGAGAATGTATCGGCGGATGGGGGGATGGATGTACCGGCGGGTACTCGCGTCTCATCCTCTGGGCACTCTGATGGACGCCTGCCTCTGTTTGTTTGGGTTCTCCGCAGAAGAGGAACGGCATGATGGACCCCGACGACTTCCGCGCCTGCCTCATCTCCATGGGCTACGACCTGGTGAGGACCGGGCCCGACGCGAGCTGCCCTGCCCCGTGTGCTCAGTGCCCCAGCAGGGGGAGCCAATGAGCCACGCGGGGCTGGCACGGCCCCGTGATTTGCAACGTCGGTCACAGCAGAACTGCCCCCTCTGTCCTTGACTGGCAGGGCTGCTACTCCTTCCTGACACAACAGCAAGTGCTGCAGCTGTCAGGAGTAAATTCCTCATGACCATGCCCGACCCTGTCTTAGTGTAATTGCTAAACCGGTCCCTTAAATTTTGCTCCAGTCTATGAATGATCTAACCACCACCGCATTTTACAGCTAAAGCCATGTAATTATTTATTTACATTCTCTACCTTTAGCCTGCAGCCATAGTGCTCTGCAGCTCCGCAGGTGTGAGCCTGGCCAGTACCTGGAGGGGAGACTCCTGGGAAAGCTGAGGCTGCTGCTGGAGTTAGTGGGGCCAGTAGGGGGCGCTCACTCTGCGGTCTGTGTGGGTCTAATACCCCAGTTTAGTAAGGGGGACATTGTACCGTAAAAAGGCGCTGTTCTTTTGGATGAGACGTCAAACCGAGGTCCTGACTCTCTGTGGTCGTTAAAAATCCCAGATTTTCGTTTCTCAAAAAGGGGTGTCACCCCCAGTGTCCTGGCCAAATTCCCCCCTGGCCTTTACCCCTCATGGCCTCCTAATAACCCCCCTCTCTGAACTGGCTCCATCACTCTGCCCTCCTCCCCACTGAGAGCTGGGGTGTGGGGAGCGGACTGTGCCTCACCCAGGTGGGGGGGACACACTGGTGGTGCTGGGGGTGGTAGAGTATCCAGAAAAGAGCTAGAGCAGCTCCAGGAAGTGTTATCAGGACTGTTCTGTGTATGAAGCACAGACCCTGGTGCCCCCCTGACTCTCGCTGTGCCGCCCCGCAGGGTGAGGTGGAGTTTGCCCGCATCATGACCCTGGTGGACCCCAACAACACGGGCGTGGTGACCTTCCAGGCCTTCATCGACTTCATGACCCGCGAGACGGCCGAGACCGACACCGCCGAGCAGGTCATGGCCTCCTTCAAGATCCTGGCGTCCGACAAGGTGAGCCGCGCGGGTCCGCCGCCGTCCGCCGCCCGCCGCCCCGGTCTGGTGGGCGCTGGTGGGGGTGGTGACCACCTCTCTCCGTCTCCCTCCCTCTCCCAGTCCTACATCACCGTGGAGGAGCTGCGCCGGGAACTGCCCCCCGAGCAGGCCGAGTACTGCATCAGCCGGATGACCAAGTACGTGGGCACCGACGCCCAGCCGGGCGCCCTGGACTACATCTCCTTCTCCAGCGCCCTCTACGGGGAGAGCGACTTGTAAACAGGCCTTCGGCCCCGCCCCCACTCCCGTGCCCCGCCCACCAGCCCCCTTTCTGCTCCGCCCACCCATTGTAGCCCCACCCCCAGCCCATCCCCCTTCCCTCCCACAGCTCCGCAGCACACACCCAGGGGAGGGAGCGGAGGTCTTGGTCGGATCGCCGGCCTGGATTAGACTTGTCAGACGTGCGCAGGGAGAGCCTCTCCGCTGGGGACACGCTCCTAGACCCCCCC